TATATTGATACAAAGTCAACAAAATTTGTTCAATTTAGTCACAGATTAACAAGGACATGGCGTAGTAACTGAACGTAACAACATAAACAACAACAAATTATACTTATTGGTTCTAATTCCCGATTCCAAGTGTCGGGTCGTCAGCCCTCGTACTGATACCAGTGGAAATTTTTCTTTCATAGAGTATAGCACTGTTGTGTTGTCAGCACACTTCACCGTGAGGAGAATGTCAAGTCAAGTATCTTTCATTTAGTGATGAAAAATTCATCTATGGTTTGTCATGCATACCGTCTTTTTATGTTTACTTCTGTCTTTGGTGGTGATGTTGGGATGTAGAGGGCGCATTTTCTTGAGAGCAATTCAACATAGTGGGCAATCAGTTCATGTAGAAAAGATTCTCTTTAAAATCTGACTAAAGACCAACTTGAGGCTTCCTCGTCGACTTCTTCCTCTTCAGAGAATTACTGTGAAGACCCACCCAATTTTATATTTAGTTCAGGTGTGTCATCGCACCCGCCGCGTGCCAGGTACCACACGGAAACACGAAATGGAAACGATTCGAGTGTTTTTTTCTCCTGAGGCCACAGTTATCATTACAATCTGGGGAAGGTGTGTACGGTTACCCATCCCCCCTCCCTTCCAGACGTAGAGCCTGCGATCGCTAAGCGACCGAATTTTTGAAAGGTCATCATCACAGACAATTTAAAATGACAGTGAGGCCTGTTTTCTGAGGCCACCCAGCAAAAGGCTAACAATAGACAATACACGCGTCAGCCCTCATGCCGAAATCAGTGGAACCACAAGGTATCACTGCTGTACTGTCAAAATACTTCACAGAGAAATGTCAAATCAATTAACTTCCATTGAGAGCTTCACTTTATGACAAAATCCTAAAACTGCGGTTTTTTATGCATTTCATTCAGATCTTGTGTCATGACATTGTGTCTCCATTTTTCATGGAGGTAAACACTAATGAATAAAGCCATGTACAACCAAGGGACTCCCTCTGACGATCAAACTTATATTGCACCAATCTACACACCTCTGGAACTAATGATATATATATGAAAATACATTTGTTCAACATTTTCTTGTTTCGCAAAATAGAATTGAGATTTGGACGTGGTAGCCATTCAGAACATGACCATTTATAAACCATGTACACTTGGCCACTTCTATTGGTATAATGAGAGGGTAATATGACATTCATGACCTGGCCCCTATGGTTTTGTTTGTGAAATGTCTGAAATATAGTTAGTCTTGCTTTTAAATGGTCACATTTTTTAAAACAACGTTATAGAATCTTAAAAAATTCAAACCCCTTTGCGAGCCTTTCGCCCTTTCCCCATTCCTGAAAAGACCGACATTTGGCAATTTGACGGTGTCCTTCCTTTAGCCACACTTTTCAGGTCGCGGTCGGGAGAGGTACTACAGATGAGGCTCCCATAGGGTATATAGTCCCGACTTGTAAAATATCAATATATACAAAACGATAAGCTTGAAGCAAGTGAATATAGTTTTGTTTACATCGGGTGACACCTGATAGTTTGTTTCCTTTATGAGTGAGAATGTTGGGCCAGATGCCAAATTTGTCACTCATGTGAGGTTCAAAAACTACCATTCCTTGGAACAATACCATGTACGAGTACACAGTCATTAGAAATTGTTACAGTATTGTTACAGTGAACGGTCGACAGGTCAAAAAGGCACAGACAACAGATATGTGGTCCCATGACCCCGCTTTATTCCTCATGTACGGAACTCCAGATGTTTCCGTTTTTCTTTACAAAACAGAACACAGTACATCTTGCCTATCTACACCCTACAACTCAGTACTCAAGAGACAACGGTTCACTTGTCAACAGAATTTTTAAATGTTTCCGTGTTTGATTTGAATGTAGTATTGTCATGCATGGTCTCAGTACAGATCTAGTATTTATAAACAGTTTACAAACAACGATTGCTCGGATAACTACCAAGAAATTATGTACTTGATAAGTACAACTGCAGATTCAAATACACCATAAAACATAGAAATGACGTACTGCAATATGTATTTATACAATTCTGATGGTGATATGAAGTGACAAGTGAACTACGTCACATTAAACCCTGTGTTCTGTATATTGGTCATGTTCACATTACCCCATTTTTCACCTTGACATTTCTTAGCTGCAGGTTGTAAAATATACAATAAAGCAAAAAAAATATTTTGTTTGATATAAGACAGGAGACGTACTTATATGTTAGTTACGCAGCAGTTACTGTCAAGCTTAGGAAAACCTAGTTGTCTTCCTCTGCACCAAAATCTAGCAATGCACAAGTAAAACATCAAAACATCTGTAAATAAATCAATGCTGGCTACCTAATTCAAGCTCTTCAACATTAAAACAGCAGCCATAACTAAACGTCACGAGACTGGCTATACCATTACCAGCATGATGATGAAATTTGCAACGGCCACATTTAGCCAGAAAGCCTATACTTATTATTATTTGTATGGTCATAAAGCTCATCACGGTACCTCTAAGTTGATACGGAGAGCCCATACTGATGTTATATGATACCGTTTATACTACTAGTATATGATTATGACGTGGCCCTACAATATAAAGAAATTATTACTAAATATACAAGTTTTCGTCAATTTGAAGCTCAAAGAAAGAACTCTTGTATTCCTCTGCCCGAGAATGTAGCAACGTATGAGTAAAACATCGTCGAGATACGCAAATGCTTGTTACCTAATCAAAGTGATTTAACTTTATAGCAGCCACCAATTAACATGTACATGTAGCTTTAAATAGCCACTATGCGTCACCAAGGAGCCTATAATTACAGTGGTATGGTAATAAAATTCACTACACTTACATTAGCATGAGAGTATTACTTTTATGATGATAAACTGATCTATTAAACATTGAAGAAGCCAATATTTAACTATAAGTTTTAGCTGTTTTCGTCACTATTAGGCGTTCACTACACTGCTGTCAGATGGAGAGCCTGTAATACTGGTGTATGGTTATACATTTACCTACAATATGGTGGAAATGAGCAAATGGAAAGGGGCAGCAGTAGAGTAAATGTTTACTTGTAGAGAATTGTTATTGTCTTGTACCAGAGTCCAGCAGAACGCGATTAGAACACTGTATTTAAGTTGTTTCTTTAGTGATAAAGTTAGAAAGGTTATACTATTGTTTCTATGCTTCTCTACGCTGTCTTTAACCTTGAATTGAAAGATTATAGTATTGTCAATGTATTATTATATTTCAGTCATACCATGGCTGAAATATACTGTTTTAACTCACGTTTCTTCTCCCTCTTCTCCAGCCATTTAATTTTTCTTTAAATGGATTTAATCTATTTAGTTAGGGCCAGATGTTGGCCAATACCCCCACTTTGTGAGACAGCCTGACGGTATAATATTATATAATATAATATAATGTAGCTGTGTTTGTGGCGTCTCACCGAAGTTTACTCCACTGTCTAAGGACGACCTGTTCTATTGGTGCATGATGATTAAGTTCTTCATACTAAGTTTATAATTTACGCTTGAAAACCTGACCTACTTCTTATAAGGCCATACCAAGTGATTTGTATGGATGACGTCCGCGCGCATATTGATTTTAGCCTGTTCCCAGAAGAAAAAAACAAACAAAAAAACAACAACAAGAAATTCCATTTCTTATAACTGTGACCAAAGAGCCACAACAGTGGGATAAGGGAAGGTGATTAAAGGAAAGAAACAGAATAGGACGGCAACTGCTGTTCTACTGATTCATTGCTGTTTTTTATGACGAATAAAAGACTTGTTGGTTGTTACACATTTACACTGTGTTCTACAATTCAATTTGTGTCCTAATTTTATTGCATTTTTTTCTGTAGCATCTTGCACTCTCGTATTAGATTTAGGGTCTGAAGAGGAAGCCATCCATAAAAAATACTTGGTTTGTTTTTTTGTTTGTTTATTTCGATCCCCATTAGTGCTTAAAAGCACTATTCTTCCTGGGGTCAATAAAATAAAACATGGTGTGGCCTAACATTGTTGTGTTTGTAGCACTGTTGTCCTGACGTCATATGGTTGTTGATAGGAAGACGTCCTGTACATCACCTTACTTGTTGACATTGTAGTCTGTAAGAGAATAGAGTAGGTATATCAAGCAGTTTTTAACTACATGTAGTGTCTGAATAAATGGTAGAAACTGACCAAAACATTCATTTGCCAGACATGATCAATGAAGGCCAATTATTGGCTAACTTCTGGATGAAGTCATTTTTGTCAACCCTTTCGGCCAATTTTGTGTTTTGTGCTTCTCCCGCCAGCTGAATACGTTGGAATTGATCCCCTCCCCCGAATTTGTGTAAACGTTATTTCTATTATCCAAAGAAGTCCACTAAAGCAAGTCTACGAAAGCCACGCCTTCCGTACTGGTGTTCCAGTGCTGATTCAATGGACAAAACGGCGTCAGCACTGGACGTCCAGTGCCGACGAGAGCCGAGCACTGGTGTTCCAGTGCTGAACGGCCTTTTCCCAGTGCTGAAGCGCCCTCACCAGTGGTGTTCCAGTGCTGAATGTTGTTGCTGAACGCGCGGCAGAATGGCGGCAGAGAGGTTCAAAGGTCATTCAGCACTGGTTACCCAGTGCTCCACTAAATACTTTAATTTCAGCACAATGAAATTCATATTAATATTTGTATGGGTAAATTATTAAGATTTCTTCGGATTCTCGAAGTTTGTTGAAACAAGGAGTTTAATATAATTGTGTATAATGTTTGTGTGCCCAGTGGATGATGCTTTTGCAATGTTGGCTGACTTGGACTCAGCATATAATATTTCCAGACCAATAATCACTTCATCTAACCCCTATAAGTTTGTTGAAACAAGAAGTTTAATATAATTGTGTATAATGATTTCTGTGCCCAATAGATGATGGTTTTGCGATATTGGTTGACTTTGACTCGACATGCACTTTTTTCAGACTAATAATAACTTCATCTAATCTCTTATGTGTATTTCGACACTTGTTGCTCACCCATCTGACAGATGTAGGGCAGTCGTTTCCTGCATTTTGATGGGATCCAGCGACTCAGTCTGCTGGTCCTCCACAGTGCCACACAGTCCTTGTGAGGGGCGTTTCTGGACCGGAACTTGCGATAGCTTCCCAGTAAAGTGCCGTCATTCCACACGAAACTACGCTCAATGGTCAGGTCATCCAGGCCCATCCAGTAAGACCTAAAATAAGGAATTGATGACTGACCGATTGATTGATTGATTGATTGATTGATTGATTGATTGATTGATTGATTGATTGATTGATTGATTGATTGATTGATTGATTGATTGAGTGAGTGAGTGAGTGATTGATTAATTGGATGAATAAAGAAACACAGGTTCTGGTACGAAGAAATTTTTTTCAAACAAGTGTATTAGTGGTAAATCTCGTACGAATGTATGCAGATGTGCCAGATACAACTTTCCCAGATAAGATACAACTTGCCCATTTTTTTCTAATTTTCGTAGTGTATTGTGCTATGAATTGGATGCTCTGTTGTATATAAGAAGCATCCATTATAACAATTTTTTTTACTATAAATTACAAGCTAATGATTTGTAAAGGTCAGAGAAATCTCTTTGTTGGGCTAGGCACACGGGGGCCTTTTAAATACTGTAACTTCAGCCCAATGAAATTGATATTATCTGCATGGTTAAATTATCCTTTGGAGTCTCAAAGTTTGTTGAAACAAGAAGTTAAATACAGTTGTGTATAATATTCTGTATGACTTTGCACACGGGATAGGCCTCAGTCATTGTAGGAAAATAAAACTCGTTATGTATTAATTTTTTAACAGCAATACACGGTGGAGCACTGGTCAGCAAATTTAGCTGATGTTCTCCCCACATTATCCTTTTTTTTTCAAAAAAGTTACGCCAATATTACATTATTTACCTCTGGGCTCTACGACCGTTAACTCTCTTCAGGTGTTCAGTGAGGAATGTCTGCACATCAGCATTTTTGATCATAGCCAGTGTCCCGCCATGGGACCTGCACACCTGCCGGGCCGCCATGTAGTTCAGACGTCGGTTGCTCCTAGTGGAGGACCAGAAGCACTGGTTCTGGTACCTGCCAAAGGTCATGGCTGGGCGCAGGCCAGGGTAGAGGTCGGAACAATCTGGAGTGGACAATGATAAAAGAGAAGACACTAAAAGACACAATTTGTCAAAATGTGATCTGCTTTTATTAGCTTTATAGGTTAAAGGTATCTTTATTACATGTACCAGTAAGGTGTCATTGCAGCATCTGATGATCAATCTTTAGAATCATGGCCGTATGAGTTACATATAAAATGAAACTCGATATAACTTACCTATACAAGTCACCCCTGTGTTACACTTTCGTGTCTCCCGAGCGGGTCCATCACAGTCTGCCCCTCCGTTCGCTGGTGCAGGATTGGTGCAGGTTCTGTCCCGAGTCTCCGTACCGACCCCACACGTTACACTGCAGCCAGACCATGGGCCCCAATTTGACCAACCACCGTCAACTACATGGATACAAATTAATATTTGAAGTAATATAAGGAAAAAAACCCTGAAACTTCGCTCCTTCAAAGGAGTAATGGTTGGTTTATTTGCATAGTACAAAAAGAGGGGAAAATGATTGCCTAAGTCTCTTAACATATCCCAAATGATGATGGATTTTATAGTAACAGCAGCATAACTTCGAGTTACCTGGACACGACACCCCCGTGTCACAGGCCTGTGTCTCCTGAGCAGGTCCGTCACAGTCTGCCCCTCCGTTCTCTGGTGCTGGGTTGGTGCAGGTTCTGTCCCGAGTCTCCGTCCCGACTCCACACGTCAGACTACAGCTAGACCATGGGCCCCAGTCGGACCAACCACCGCCAACTGTATGAAGACAGAATAAGATTGAAGGTATTCAGGAAACAAAAGAACCTTCGCCATTTTAAAGGGCTACCATAGACATCGCTCGTTGTATTTTTGTAAAGTGAAAAAAATTAATTGCTTACAGAACCAGTATCTTACTAATTTTTTTAGGCAAACTGGACACCTCTTTTGTATTGTTTACTAAAAACATGGATCCTTCGTTATTTTTTTTATCATATTTTCCATAGGGAGAATTCGTTGATTTTACAGCTACAGCAGTATTACTCGGAGTTACCTGGACAAGAAACCCCCGTGTCACAGGCCTGTGTCTCCTGAGCAGGTCCGCCACAGTCTGCCCCTCCGTTCGCTGGTGCAGGGTTGGTGCAGGTTCTGTCCCGAGTCTCCGTCCCGACTCCACACGTCACGTTGCAGCCAGACCATGGGCCCCAGTCGGACCAACCACCGTCAACTGTAAGGACGCAAATGTTTGTATTGTGAAAAAACTAAATCTTGGTCATTCAATCGAGTACTGCAGAAACCAATGGTTGAATTCTCGCACTGCAAAAAAAAAGGCATTCTAAAGGAAAATAACTGCCTTTGGGTTCAAAATCTGACACATCTGCTGTGTTGAAGGTAAAAACGTTGCCAAATCTTTCAATCATACTTTGCTTAGGGAGTTTAGATAAAGATACATCTGTCTCGATATAATTTCGAGTTACCTGGACACGACACCCCTGTGTCACAGGCCTGTGTCTCCTGAGCAGGTCCGTCACAGTCTGCCCCACCGTTCTCTGGTGCAGGGTTGGTGCAGGTTCTGTCCCGAGTCTCCGTCCCGACTCCACACGTCACGCTGCAGTTAGACCATGGGCCCCAGACGGACCAACCACCGTCAACTGAATGGAGACAGAATAAGCTTGATATATATTGAAGGTATTCAGGAAACAAAAAAAAACTTTCGACATTTTAAAGGACTACTTTAGACATCGCTTGTTGTAATTTTGTATAGTAGAATAGAAACAGAAAAATTAATTACTTTAAGAACCAGTATCTTACTAACTTGTTAGGCAAAATGGAAACCTCTTGCTGTACTGTTTACGGAAAACGTGATCCTTCGTTACTCTTTTTTATCATATTTTGCTTAGGGAAAATACGTTGAATTTACAGCTACACCTGGTCCAGTAAAATTTCAAATTACCTGGACAAGACACCCCCGTGTCACAGGCCTGTGTCTCCTGAGCAGCTCCGTCACAGTCTGCCCCATCGTTCTCTGGTGCAGGGTTGGTGCAGGTTCTGTCCCGAGTCTCTGTCCCGACTCCACACGTCACGCTGCAGTTAGACCAAGGGCCCCAGTCGGACCAACCACCGTCAACTGTATAAAGACAAAATAAGACTGAAGGTATTCAGAAAAGAAAATAAACGTCGCCATTTTAAAGGACTACTATATAACATCGATGGTTGTTTTTTGTATAGTGAAAAAAACAGTAGAATTAAATTTTTAAAGAACCAGTTTGTTACTAATTTGTTAGGCAAAATGGACAACTCTTGTTGTATTGTATACTGAAAACGTGATTCTTCGTTACTCTTTTTTATCATATTTTGCTTAGGGAATATACGTTGAATTTAAAGTCACAGCAGAATAACGCCGAGTTACCTGGACACGACACCCCCGTGTCACATTCCTGTGTCTCCTGAGCAGGTCCGTCACAGTCTGCCCCTCCGTTCGCTGGTGCAGGGTTGGTGCAGGTTCTATCCCGAGTCTCCGTCCCGACTCCACACGTCACGCTGCAGTTTGACCATGGACCCCACTTGGACCAACCACCGTCAACTGAATGGATAGAAAAAATATTCGAAGTATTCTGTAAAAACTGAAACTTAGCCCCCTCAAAGCAGTAATTATTGGTTGTATTATTGCATAGTACAAAAAGCAAGGATAATTGCTAACGTCTCCTTATATCTTTTTAAATGATCTTTAAATTTGAAGTCACAGCAGCATAACGTCGAGTTACCTGGACAAGAAATTCCCGTGTCACATGCCTGTGTCTCCTGAGCAGGTCCGTCACAGTCTGCCCCACCGTTCTCTGGTGCAGGGTTGGTGCAGGTTCTGTCCCGAGTCTCCGTCCCGACTCCACACGTCACGTTGCAGCCAGACCATGGGCCCCAGTCGGACCAACCACCGTCAACTGTAAGGACGCAAATGTGGGTATTGTGAAAAAACTAAATCTTGGTCATTCAATCGAGTACTGCAGAAACCAATGGTTGAATTCTCGCACTGCAAAAAAAGGCATTCTAAAGGAAAATAACTGCCTTTGGGTTAAAAATCTGATACCTCTGCTGTGTTGAAGGTAAAAACGTTGCCAATTCTTTCAATCATACTTTGCTTATGGAGTTTCGATAAAGATACAGCTGTCTCGATATAACTTCGAGTTACCTGGACACGACACCCCCGTGTCACAGGCCTGTGTCTCCTGAGCAGGTCCGTCACAGTCTACCCCACCGTTTGCTGGTGCAGGGTTGGTGCAGGTTCTGTCCCGAGTCTCCGTCCCGACTCCACACGTCACGCTGCAGTTAGACCAAGGGCCCCAGTCGGACCAACCACCGTCAACTGTATAAAGAAAAAATGAGATTAAGGTTCCGGGTCGGAGTTTAATTCTGACCAGGGTTCCAAATAGTGCGCAGTAAATCGCCGGATCTGCGAGGTTGTCACGCTAGGTTTGGCTCCCCATAGCTCGGCGATCGCTGTAGGTTTTCAGCTAGGTTTTTAATTGATCAAAAAGCCTTGGGTTTGTAGTGTTTTTCGGCGCGGTGAAGATGGACGGCCAGCGAAGCGTTTTTGGTATTAGTCCGCGAGCAAGGGTGATGCGGTTTGTCGTCTGTCGACCCAAATAGCTGCGTTCTATGTGGAATTTCTAGGGGTTCGCGTCACCGGATTTTGCGAAAAACTTATCGCAACAACCTATATTTTTTTCTGTTTTTCAGAAACAGAAAGTAGTAAGCTATTTCAGCATATAAGCCGTTAGCCTGGGAAAATTCGTTTTTTCCAAGCAGGTCCGTTGAAAAAACTGCAAAAAAACTACATTTTTCGTATCCAAAATTTACGTTTAACTACAGTTTCTACCCAAATTATAGAGTCGACGGACAATAACCAAAATTGTATCGGAAGCCGGCTGGAAACCTCCGTTGACTGATGTAGTGAGATTTCCCGGCGAACTTTTTTTGGCGGAGTTATAGCCCTTCGGTCTGAGGGTGTCCGCCGGATCCAAAATCGTGAAAAAAACTCCGGTCCGAGACCTTAAAGATATTCAGAAACAAACAACTCTCGCCATTTTAAAGGATTACTATAGACATCGCTTGTCGTATTATTGTATTGTAGAAATAAACGGTAAAATTAATTACTTTAAGAACCAGTATCTTACTAACTTGTTCGGCAAAATGAACACCTCATGTTGTATGTTTACGAAAATTATAAATCCTTCGTTATTCTTTTCCATCATATTTTGCTTAGGGAGAATACGTTGAGTTTACAGCTACAGCAGTAATACGCGGAGTTACCTGGACAAGACACCCCCGTGTCACAGGCCTGTGTCTCCTGAGCAGGTCCGTCACAGTCTGCCCCACCGTTCTCTGGTGCAGGGTTGGTGCAGGTTCTGTTTCGAGTCTCCGTCCCGACTCCACACGTCACGCTGCAGCCAGACCATGGACTCCAGTCGGACCAACCACCGTCAACTGTAAGGAGGCAAATGTGGGTATTGTGACAAAACTAAATCTTGGTCATTCAGTCGAGTACTGCAGAAACCAATGGTTGAATTCTCGCCCTGTAAAAAAGGCATTTTAACGGAGAATAACTGCCTTTGGGTTCAAAATCTGATACCTCTGCTGTGTTGAAAGTGAAAACGTTGCCAATTCTTTCAATCATACTTTGCTTAGGGAGTTGCGATAAAGATACAGCTGTCTTGATATAACTTCGAGTTACCTGGACATGACACCCCCGTGTCACAGGCCTGTGTTTCCTGAGCAGGTCCGTCACAGTCCGCCCCACCGTTCGCTGGTGCAGGGTTGGTGCAGGTTCTGTCCCGAGTCTCCGTCCCGACCCCACACGTCACGCTGCAGTTAGACCATGGGCCCCAATCGGACCAATCGCCATCAACTGTAAAGACGTAAATATGAGTATTTTGAAAAAACTAAGTCTTGGTCATTTTAACGAGTACTGTAGACACGAATGGTCGTATTCTCGCACAGTACAAAAGGCATGCGGAAGTAAAAAAATTGCCTTTGGGATAAAAATTGACATCTCTGCTGTTTTGAAAGTGAAAACGTTGCCAATTCTTTCAATCATACTTTGCTTAGGGAGTTGCGATAAAGATACAGCTGTCTCGATATAACTTCGAGTTACCTGGACAAGACACCCCCGTGTCACAGGTCTGTGTCTCCTGAGCAGGTCCGTCACAGTCTGCCCCTCCGTTCTCTGGGGCAGGGTTGGTGCAGGTTCTGTCCCGAGTCTCCGTCCCGACTCCACACGTCACGCTGCAGTTAGACCATGATCCCCAGTCGGACCAACCACCGTCAACTGTAAGGAGACAGAATAAGATTGAAGTATTCAGGAAACACCTTCGCCATTTTAAAGGAGTACTATAGACATTACTGGTTGTATTTTTGTATAGTGGAAAAAAGCAGTACAGTAAATTACTTTAACAACCATTATCTTACTAAATTTGTTAAGCAAAATAGACACCTCTTGCTGTACTGTTAACTGAAAACACGGATCCTTTGTTATTCTTTTCTATCATATTTTACTTAGGGAGAATACGTTGAATAATCAGCTGTAGCAGTATAACTTCGAGTTACCTGGACAAGACACCCCCGTGTCACAGGCCTGTGTCTCCTGAGCACGTCCATCACAGTCTGCCCCACCGTTCTCTGGTGCAGGGTTGGTGCAGGTTCTGTCCCGAGTCTCCGTCCCGACTGCACAAGTGACGCTGCAGCCAGACCATGATCCCCAGTCGGACCAACCACCGTCAACTGTATGTAAGGAGGCAAATGCGGGTATTGTAAAAAAACTTAATCTTTGTTATTCAAATGAAAACTGTAGACACTAATGGTTGAATTTTCGCTCAAGAGAAAAGGAATTCGCAAGGAAAATAATTGCCTTTGGGATCAGAAAGCAATTGACATATCTGTTGTGTTGAAAGTGAAAACATTGCCAATTCTTTCAATAATACTTTTTTTTTATTTTTATTTTTATTGAAACAACAGAGTACAAGACATGGTACAGGACACAGAGGTAGAAACTCTGGCCGAAGCTAATATTATTCATAATAATACTTTGCGTAGGGAGTTGCGATAAAGATACAATCAATCAATCAACCAATCAATCAATCAATCAATCAATCAATCAATCAATCAATCAATCAATCAATCAATCAATCAAGATGCATTTGTCTCGATATAACTTCGAGTTACCTGGACAAGACACTCCCGTGTCACAGGCCTGTGTCTCCTGAGCAGGTCCGTCACAGTCTGCCCCTCCGTTCTCTGGTGCAGGGTTGGTGCAGGTTCTGTCCCGAGTCTCCGTCCCGACTCCACACGTCACGCTGCAGCCAGACCATGGGCCCCAGTCGGACCAACCACCGTCAACTATAAGGATACAAATAAATATTCAAAGTAGTCTGTAAAATGTGAAACTTCGCCCTCCCAAAGGAGTACTTGTTGGTTGTATTCTTGCATAGTAAAAAAAGCAGGGATAACTGCTTACGTTTCTTTTTATCTTCTAAATGATCTTAAAATTTATAGTCACAGCAGCAAAACTTTGAGTTACCTGGACATGACACTCCCGTGTCACATGTCTGTGTCTCCTGAGCAGGTCCGTCACAGTCTGCCCCACCGTTCGCAGGTGCAGGGTTGGTGCAGGTTCTGTCCCGAGTCTCCGTCCCGACACCACACGTCAAGCTACAGTTAGACCATGGGCCCCAGTCGGACCAACCACCGTCAACTAATTGGAGACAGAATAAGATTGAAGTATTCAGGAAACAGAACTTCTTCGCCATTTTAAAGGAGTACTATAGACATTACTGGTTGTATTTTTGTATAGTGGAAAAAAGCAGTACCGTAAATTACTTTAACAACCATTATCTTACTAACTTCTTAGGCAAAATGGACACCTCTGGCTGTACTGTTAACTGAAAACATGGATCCTTCGTTTTTTATTCCTATTATATTTTACTTAGGGAGAATACGTTGAATATTTTGATGCAGCAGTATAACTTCGAGTTACCTGGACAAGACACCCCCGTGTCACATGCCTGTGTCTCCTGAGCAGGTCCGTCACAGTCTGCCCCTCCGTTCTCTGGTGCAGGGTTGGTGCAGGTTCTGTCCCGAGTCTCCGTCCCGACTCCACAAGTGACGCTGCAGCCAGACCATGATCCCCAGTCGGACCAACCACCGTCAACTGTATGTAAGGAGGCAAATGCGGGTATTGTGAAAAAACTAAATCTTTGTTATTCAAATGGAAACTGTAGACACTAATTGTTGAATTTTCGCTCAAGAGAAAAGGCATTCGCAAGGAAAATAATTGCCTTTGGGATCAGAATGCAATTGATATATCTGTTGTGTTGAAAGTGAAAACATTGCCAATTCTTTCAATAATACTTTTTTTATTTTTATTTTTATTGAAACAACAGAGTACAAGACATGGTACAGGACACAGAGGTAGAAACTCTAGCCGAAGATGCATTTGTCTCGTTATAACTTCGAGTTACCTGGACAAGACACTCTTGTGTCACATGCCTGTGTCTCGTGAGCAGGTCCGTCACAGTCTGCCCCACCGTTCTCTGGTGCAGGGTTGGTGCAGGTTCTGTCCCGAGTCTCCGTCCCGACTCCACACGTCACGCTGCAGCCAGACCATGGGCCCCAGTCGGACCAACCACCGTTAACTTTATGAAGACAGAATAAGATTGAAGATATTTAGAAACAAACAAATTTCGCCATTTTAAAGGACTACTATAGTCATTACTTGTCGTATTATTGTATTCTAGAAATAAACAGTAAAATTAATTACTTTAAGAACCAGTATCTTACTAACTTGTTAGACAAAATGAACACCTCTTGTTGTATTGTTTACTGAGAATATGAATCCTTCGTTATTCGTTTCCATCATATTTTGATTTGGGAGAATACGTTCAGATTACAGCTACAGCAGTATTACTCGGAGTTACCTGGACAAGACACCCCCGTGCCACAGGCCTGTGTCTCCAGAGCAGGTCCGTCACAGTCTGCCCCACCGTTCGCTGGTGCAGGGTTAGTGCAGGTTCTGTCCCGAGTCTCCGTCCCGACTCCACACGTCACGCTGCAGCCAGACCATGATCCCCAGTCGGACCAACCACCGTTAACTGTATGGAGACAGAATAAGATTGAAGATATTTAGGAAACAAAATAAACTTCGCCATTTTAAAGGATTACTATAGACATCGATGTTTTTTGTTTATAGTGAAAAATCAGTAGAATTAAATGCCTAAAGAAGCTGTATGTTAATAATTTCTTAGGCAAAATGGAAACCTCATGTGGTATTGTTTACTGTAAACATGAATCTTTCGTTATTCTTTTCCATCATATTTTGCTTACTAGGGAGAATACGTTGAGTTTACAGCAACAGCAGTATTACTCGGAATTACCTGGACAAGACAACCCCGTGTCACATGCCTGTGTCTCCTGAGCAGGTCCGTCACAGTCTGCCCCACCGTTCGCTGGTGCAGGGTTGGTGCAGGTTCTGTCCCGAGTCTCCGTCCCGACTCCACACGTCACACTACAAACAGACCATGGGCCCCAGTCGGACCAACCACCGTCAACTGTAAGGAGGCAAATGTGAATACTGTGAAAAAACTAAATCTTTGTCATTCAAACAAGTACTGTAGACACTAATGGTTGAATTCTTGTACAATACAAAAGGCATTCTAATGGAAAATAACTGCCTTTGGGTTCAAATTCTGACACCTCTGCTGTGTTGGAAGTGAAAACGTTGCCAATTCTTTCAATCATACTTTGCTTAGAGAGTTGTAATAAAGATACATATGTCTCGATATAACTTTGAGTTACCTGGACACGACACCCCCGTGTCACATTCCTGTGTCTCCTGAGCAGGTCCGTCACAGGTCTGCCCCACCGTTCGCTGGTGCAGGGTTGGTGCAGGTTCTGTCCCGAGTCTCTGTCCCGACTCCACACGTCACGCTGCAGGTAGACCATGGGCCCCAGTCGGACCAGCCACCGTCAACTGTATGTAAGGAGGCAAATGTGGGTATATTAAAAAAACTAAATCTGTTATTCAAACGAGAACTGTAGACACTAATCGTTGAATTTTCGCACAAGAGAAAAGGTATTCGCAAGGAAAATAATTGCCTTTGGAATCAAAATCTAATTGACATCTCTGTTGTGTTTAAAATGAAAACATTGCCAATTCTTTCAATAATACTTTGCGTAGTGAGTTGCGATAAAGATACAATCAATCAATCAATAAAGATACAGCTGTCTCATTCAAACTTCGAGTTACCTGGACAAGACACCCCCGTGTCACAGGTCTGTGTCTCCTGAGCAGGTCCGTCACAGTCTGCCCCACCGTTCTCTGGTGCAGGGTTGGTGCAGGTTCTGTCCCGAGTCTCCGTCCCGACTCCACACGTCACACTACAAACAGACCGTGATCCCAGTCGGACCAACCACCGTCAACTAATTGGAGACAGAATAAGATTGAAGTATTCAGGAAACAGAAATTTTTCGCCATTTTAAAGGAGTACTATAGACATCACTAGTTGTATTTTTGTATAGTGGATGAAAGCAGTACAGTAAATTACTTTAACAACCATTATCTTACTAATTTGTTAGGCAAAATGGACACCTCTGGCTGTACTGTTAACTTAAAACATGGATTATTCGCTTTTCTTTTCTATTATATTTTACTTAGGGAGAATACGTTGAATATTTAGCTGCAGCAGTATTACTTCGAGTTACCTGGACAAGACATCCCCGTGTCACATGCCTGTGTCTCCTGAGCAGGTCCATCACAGTCTGCCCCACCGTTCTCCGGTGCAGGGTTGGTGCAGGTTCTGTCCCGAGTCTCTGTCCCGGCTCCACACGTCACGCTGCAGGTAGACCATGGGCCCCAGTCGGACCAGCCACCGTCAACTGTATGTAAGGAGGCAAATGTGGGTATATTAAAAAAACTAAATCTGTTATTCAAACGAGAAGTGTAGACACTAATGGTTGAATTTTCGCACAAGAGAAAAGGTATTCGCAAGGAAAATAATTGCCTTTGGAATCAAAATCTAATTGACATCTCTGTTGTGTTTAAAATGAAAACGTTGCCAATTCTTTCAATAATACTTTGCGTAGTGAGTTGCGATAAAGATACAATCAATCAATCAATAAAGATACAGATGTCTCAATAAAACTTCGAGTTACCGGGACAAGACACCCCCGTGTCACAGGCCTGTGTCTCCTGAGCAGGTCCGTCACAGTCTGCCCCACCGTTCTCTGGTGCAGGGTTGGTGCAGGTTTCTGTCCCGAGTCTCTGTCCCGACTCCACAAGTCACGCTGCAGCCAGACCATGATCCCCAGACGGACCAACCACCGTCAACTGTATGGAGACAGAATAGGATTGAAGGTATTCAGGAAACAAAATAAACTTCGCCATTTTAAAGGATTACTATAGACATCGATGTTTTTTAATAGTGAAACAACCAGTAGAATTAAATGCCTAAAGAAGCTGTATGTTAATAATTTCTTAGGCAAAATGGAAACCTCATGTGGTATTGTTTACTGTAAACATGAATCTTTCGTTATTCTTTCCATCATATTTTGCTTACTAGGGAGAATACGTTGAGTTTACAGCAACAGCAGTATTACTCGGAATTACCTGGACAAGACAACCCCGTGTCACAGGCCTGTGTCTCCTGAGCAGGTCCGTCACAGTCTGCCCCACCGTTCGCTGGTGCAGGGTTGGTGCAGGTTCTGTCCCGAGTCTCCGTCCCGACTCCACACGTCACGTTGCAGCCAGACCATGGGCCCCAGTCGGACCAACCACCGTTAACTTTAATGACGCAAATGTGGGTATTGTGAAAAAAACTAAATCTTGGTCACTCATTCGAGTATTGCAGAAACCAATGGTTGAATTCTCGCCCTGTAAAAAAGGCATTCTAAAGGAAATCAACTGCCTTTGGGTTTAAAATCTGACACCTCTGCTGTGTTGAAAGTAAAAATGTTGCCAATTCTTTCAATCATACTTTGCTTATATAGGGAGTTGCGATAAAGATACAGCTGTCTCGAATAACTTCGAGTTACCTGGACAAGACACCCCCGTGTCACATGCCTGTGTCTCCTGAGCAGGTCCGTCACAGTCTGCCCCACCGTTCTCTGGTGCAGGGTTGGTGCAGGTTCTGTCCCGAGTCTCCGTCCCGACTCCACACGTCACACTACAAACAGACCATGATCCCCAGTCGGACCAACCACCGTCAACTGTAAGGAGGCAAATGTGAATACTGTGAAAAAACTAAATCTTCGTCATTCAAACAAGTACTGTAGACACTAATGGTTGAATTCTTGTACAATACAAAAGGCATTCTAAAGGAAAATAACTGCCTTTGGGTTCAAATTCTGACACCTCTGCTGTGTTGGAAGTGAAAACGTTGCCAATTCTTTCAATCATACTTTGCTTAGAGAGTTGTAATAAAGAAACATATGTCTCGATATAACTTTGAGTTACCTGGACACGACACCCCCGTGTCACAGGCCTGTGTCTCCAGAGCAGGTCCGTCACAGTCTGCCCCACCGTTCTCTGGTGCAGGGTTGGTGCAGGTTCTGTCACGAGTCTCTGTCCCGACTCCACAAGTCACGCTGCAGCCAGACCATGATCCCCAGTCGGACCAACCACCGTCAACTGTATGGAGACAGAATAGGATTGAAGGTATTCAGGAAACAAAATAAACTTCGCCATTTTAAAGGATTACTATAGACATCGATGTTTTTTTTTTAATAGTGAAACAACCAGTAGAATTAAATGCCTAAAGAAGCTGTATGTTAATAATTTCTTAGGCAAAATGGAAACCTCATGTGGTATTGTTTGCTGTAAACATGAATCTTTCGTTATTCTTTTCCATCATATTTTGCTTACTAGGGAGAATACGTTGAGTTTACAGCAACAGCAGTATTACTCGGAATTACCTGGACAAGACAACCCCGTGTCACAGGCCTGTGTCTCCTGAGCAGGTCCGTCACAGTCTGCCCCACCGTTCGCTGGTGCAGGGTTGGTGCAGGTTCTGTCCCGAGTCTCCGTCCCGACTCCACACGTCACGTTGCAGCCAGACCATGGGCCCCCAGTCGGACCAACCACCGTTAACTTTAATGACGCAAATGTGGGTATTGTGAAAAAACTAAATCTTGGTCACTCATTCGAGTATTGCAGAAACCAATGGTTGAATTCTCGCCCTGTAAAAAGGCATTCTAAGGAAATCAACTGCCTTTGGGTTTAAAATCTGACACCTCTGCTGTGTTGAAAGTAAAAATGTTGCCAATTCTTTCAATCATACTTTGCTTATATAGGGAGTTGCGATAAAGATACAGCTGTCTCGAATAACTTCGAGTTACCTGGACAAGACACCCCCGTGTCACATGCCTGTGTCTCCTGAGCAGGTCCGTCACAGTCTGCCCCACCGTTCTCTGGTGCAGGGTTGGTGCAGGTTCTGTCCCGAGTCTCCGTCCCGACTCCACACGTCACACTACAAACAGACCATGATCCCCAGTCGGACCAACCACCGTCAACTGTAAGGAGGCAAATGTGAATACTGTGAAAAAACTAAATCTTCGTCATTCAAACAAGTACTGTAGACACTAATGGTTGAATTCTTGTACAATACAAAAGGCATTCTAAAGGAAAATAACTGCCTTTGGGTTCAAATTCTGACACCTCTGCTGTGTTGGAAGTGAAAACGTTGCCAATTCTTTCAATCATACTTTGCTTAGAGAGTTGTAATAAAGATACATATGTCTCGATATAACTTTGAGTTACCTGGACACGACACCCCCGTGTCACATTCCTGTGTCTCCTGAGCAGGTCCGTCACAGTCTGCCCCACCGTTCTCTGGTGCAGGGTTGGTGCAGGTTCTGTCCCGAGTCTCTGTCCCGACTCCACACGTCACGCTGCAGGTAGACCATGGGCCCCAGTCGGACCAGCCACCGTCAACTGTATGTAAGGAGGCAAATGTGGGTATATTAAAAAAACTAAATCTGTTATTCAAACGAGAACTGTAGACACTAATCGTTGAATTTTCGCACAAGAGAAAAGGTATTCGCAAGGAAAATAATTGCCTTTGGAATCAAAATCTAATTGACATCTCTGTTGTGTTTAAAATGAAAACATTGCCAATTCTTTCAATAATACTTTGCGTAGTGAGTTGCGATAAAGATACAATCAATCAATCAATAAAGATACAGCTGTCTCATTAAACTTCGAGTTACCTGGACAAGACACTCCCGTGTCACAGGCCTGTGTCTCCTGAGCAGGTCCGTCACAGTCTGCCCCTCCGTTCTCTGGTGCAGGGTTGGTGCAGGTTCTGTCCCGAGTCTCCGTCCCGACTCCACACGTCACGCTACAAACAGACCATGATCCCCAGTCGGACCAACCACCGTCAACTAATTGGAGACAGAATAAGATTGAAGTATTCAGGAAACAGAAATTTTTCGCCATTTTAAAGGAGTACTATAGACATCACTAGTTGTATTTTTGTATAGTGGATGAAAGCAGTACAGTAAATTACTTTAACAACCATTATCTTACTAATTTGTTAGGCAAAATGGACACCTCTGGCTGTACTGTTAACTTAAAACATGGATTATTCGCTTTTCTTTTCTATTATATTTTACTTAGGGAGAATACGTTGAATATTTAGCTGCAGCAGTATTACTTCGAGTTACCTGGACAAGACATCCCCGTGTCACATGCCTGTGTCTCCTGAGCAGGTCCATCACAGTCTGCCCCACCGTTCTCCGGTGCAGGGTTGGTGCAGGTTCTGTCCCGAGTCTCTGTCCCGGCTCCACACGTCACGCTGCAGGTAGACCATGGGCCCCAGTCGGACCAGCCACCGTCAACTGTATGTAAGGAGGCAAATGTGGGTATATTAAAAAAACTAAATCTGTTATTCAAACGAGAAGTGTAGACACTAATGGTTGAATTTTCGCACAAGAGAAAAGGTATTCGCAAGGAAATAATTGCCTTTGGAATCAAAATCTAATTGACATCTCTGTTGTGTTTAAAATGAAAACGTTGCCAATTCTTTCAATAATACTTTGCGTAGTGAGTTGCGATAAAGATACAATCAATCAATCAATAAAGATACAGCTGTCTCAATAAAACTTCGAGTTACCGGGACAAGACACCCCCGTGTCACAGGCCTGTGTCTCCTGAGCAGGTCCGTCACAGTCTGCCCCACCGTTCTCTGGTGCAGGGTTGGTGCAGGTTCTGTCCCGAGTCTCTGTCCCGACTCCACAAGTCACGCTGCAGCCAGACCATGATCCCCAGACGGACCAACCACCGTCAACTGTATGGAGACAGAATAGGATTGAAGGTATTCAGGAAACAAAATAAACTTCGCCATTTTAAAGGATTACTATAGACATCGATGTTTTTTTATAGTGAAACAACCAGTAGAATTAAATGCCTAAAGAAGCTGTATGTTAATAATTTCTTAGGCAAAATGGAAACCTCATGTGGTATTGTTTACTGTAAACATGAATCTTTCGTTATTCTTTTCCATCATATTTTGCTTACTAGGGAGAATACGTTGAGTTTACAGCAACAGCAGTATTACTCGGAATTACCTGGACAAGACAACCCCGTGTCACAGGCCTGTGTCTCCAGAGCAGGTCCGTCACAGTCCGCCCCACCGTTCGCTGGTGCAGGGTTGGTGCAGGTTCTGTCCCGAGTCTCCGTCCCGACTCCACACGTCACACTACAAACAGACCATGGGCCCCAGTCGGACCAACCACCGTCAACTGTAAGGAGGCAAATGTGAATACTGTGAAAAAACTAAATCTTCGTCATTCAAACAAGTACTGTAGACACTAATGGTTGAATTCTTTTACAATACAAAAGGCATTCTAATGGAAAATAACTGCCTTTGGGTTCAAATTCTGACACCTCTGCTGTGTTGGAAGTGAAAACGTTGCCAATTCTTTCAATCATACTTTGCTTAGAGAGTTGTAATAAAGATACATATGTCTCGATATAACTTTGAGTTACCTGGACACGACACCCCCGTGTCACATTCCTGTGTCTCCTGAGCAGGTCCGTCACAGTCTGCCCCACCGTTCTCTGGTGCAGGGTTGGTGCAGGTTCTGTCCCGAGTCTCTGTCCCGACTCCACACGTCACGCTGCAGGTAGACCATGGGCCCCAGTCGGACCAGCCACCGTCAACTGTATGTAAGGAGGCAAATGTGGGTATATTAAAAAAACTAAATCTGTTATTCAAACGAGAACTGTAGACACTAATCGTTGAATTTTCGCACAAGAGAAAAGGTATTCGCAAGGAAAATAATTGCCTTTGGAATCAAAATCTAATTGACATCTCTGTTGTGTTTAAAATGAAAACATTGCCAATTCTTTCAATAATACTTTGCGTAGTGAGTTGCGATAAAGATACAATCAATCAATCAATAAAGATACAGCTGTCTCATTAAAACTTCGAGTTACCTGGACAAGACACCCCCGTGTCACAGGCCTGTGTCTCCTGAGCAGGTCCGTCACAGTCTGCCCCACCGTTCGCTGGTGCAGGGTTAGTGCAGGTTCTGTCCCGAGTCTCTGTCCCGACTCCACACGTCACGCTGCAGCCAGACCATGATCCCCAGTCGGACCAACCACCGTCAACTAATTGGAGACAGAATAAGATTGAAGTATTCAGGAAACAGAAATTTTTCGCCATTTTAAAGGAGTACTATAGACATCACTGGTTGTATTGTTGTATAGTGGATAAAAGCAGTACAGTAAATTACTTTAACAACCATTATCTTACTAATTTGTTAGGCAAAATGGACACGTCTGGCTGTACTGTTAACTGAAAACATGGATTATTCGCTTTTCTTTTCTATTATATTTTACTTAGGGAGAATACGTTGAATATTTAGCTGCAGCAGTATAACTTCGAGTTACCTGGACAAGACATCCCCGTGTCACATGCCTGTGTCTCCTGAGCAGGTCCGTCACAGTCTGCCCCCCCGTTCTCTGGTGCAGGGTTGGTGCAGGTTCTGTCCCGGGTCTCCGTCCCGACTCCACACGTCACGCTGCAGCCAGACCATGGGCCCCAGTCAGACCAACCGCCGTCAACTGCACCTATTTTGCGACAGAAAGTTTATAGTCATTATCAACATCGCTCCAGGGTGTCCGCACCCTTGTTTTGCCCGACATGTATGTTTGTCACGCCAGTTGTACAAAATAATCTGACGACGTGCACGCTTACGAATTAATGTGATGCGAAGCATCACTTCACCTACATACCAATTCTGGTCGCTTGTGACTAGGGCTCTACGTATACGGAGTTCGTCAATCAATAAAGTTGCTTTATACATAATAGGGCTCTTCGTGAATCTTACAGTTCTAGCTTTCTGAGGCTAGCTGATTACTAGACCTGCATAGTGATTTTGTCAGAAATCTCATGGGAGCCACTTGTTTTAGTCCGGGGAATGCATGCGCAGTAGGGATTGAGCAATTTTTCTGCATGAATCACAGCGTCTTAGGGATAACGGGTCATTGGAGAGATCCTGTAGAGATATTTTAGTGAGTTAATTTCAGCCCCAAGGATTATTTGCAAGCTCTGATCCGTCACCGTGGATCCGTGCCATCTCGATCGATTCGGATTTAGCGACAGTTAGCCCAGGATGCCATACTTGGCAGCCATACTCCAGTACTGGACGGAAAAAATCCGATGTAGATTAGCACGGAATCGTGAGCGTCAAGAACTTGTTTTTTTCCTAACATATACAGTCTTTTGATGACAATGTGAAGTGTTCCAATAGCCTATTCCCCAATGCAGCAATGGAATCTTCCAACGCCTTCTGCTGTAGGAACATGTAGAACCAGTGTTCTATTTAGAACTGTCAGTTGGGTATTTGGGGTTTCATGCTACAATCGATGTTTCTGTACGGTAAGGTAAGGTAAAATGTATTTGTTTATTTTGCAGCCGTTTTGTTCAATTTGCTGTATGGTCCAGAACGTTTCTGAAGTTATACCCGATTACAAACAGCAACACCTATGTATGGTGTACCCAAACACATAACCTTCTGACAAAGGTAATTACTTACCGACACAGCTTGCATTAACTGACGGGATGATTTGCCACTGACCGTCGACCAACAGCCGCCACTGTGACCTGATCTGGTCAGGCGTCATGGCGCAGTCCTTGACATAAGCGGAGCCGGAGGCTTGTCCGATCGTGGGACCTACCAACCACAGCTTATAGTCATCGACGAAGAAGAGAAAGTATTGGCTGTCTGTGTCACTAACGTAGACAGGTCTGCCCCCACTGGTCTGGTCTATTCTGGTGTAGGTAGTAATGCTTGGATGTTGGATGTTGGCATCGCCTTGCAGACTGACCCTTGTACAGTTTGTAGCGCCCCCTACCGACTGTGGAACTACAACGCCAGCTGGGACGTCATCTGAAACAAACGAGAATGAAAACGAAGACTTTGTATAAAAAATTTCTCAAGCGTAAATGGGAGGTTGCAAAAAGGTTTCAGGGGCCCCAGGATTGGAAAAGAAAAGAAATTGGAAATCTTTTGGCTAGGTTAGGCTATGTTTATTTGATTAGTTGGATGACATCCGCGCGCGCATGAATTTTTCAAATCCGCGCGCGCATGAAGTTTTTGACCATGCAGTAAATTGTACAATGCAGCTGCAAAATGAGCAAACATATGCGGCAAATTGCAACAATAAAATAATAAAACACGGCACTCATGTCATAGAATGTCAAAATCAATTCCAAAGGAAAAGAACAAAAAGTGAAGAAATAAAGATGAAGAGTGTAAAGTTTACCATACCATATTTCTGAGTGTTAATCATTTGTACAACCTTTGTGGATTTCATAATGAAGGCAACACTTTTTTTGGAAACTTTTTTTTTATTCGCACGCTGGCATCAGTTTCGGGGTTTGCAGAGGATGTCATCCATATTATCAAATCAACATGGCCTTACAAAATTGAAATAGCTCTTAAATCTAGCTCCGTGTATACATGGGATGCAAATTCGCTTAAAATCGTAAATGAAACGTTGACGGATATATTCACATATGTTCCCCAAATATGGTAGGTCCTACAAACCAGAGCAGGCGATCTTTACATCCGGGTTCTCTGCCCACTCCTGGCCGTCCCACAGACGGAACGTCCCGGTGATCTCGTCAGCGTACAGGTGGGAGTCTCTGACGCGCACGCCTATGCTGGTGCCCCCAACCTGCGACCCCACCCACCACTCAAGGATACTGTCGCCCGAGTAATACAGGTAGTCGCAGATTGCACTGCTGAAATACACGGGCCGGCCCTCGTGAGTGTCTCCCGTCATGGTGTAGGACGTCATCCTAGAGCTCTGCACAGTGTGGGAACCGTATAGGACAACCGTAGGGCATCCTGACATGGACAGACAGTTACAAATGTGAGAAGTGAAGAAAATGACTGAGATGAATTGCCATAAGATGACTAAAAACTTTAGAGCTCATAATGTAGCTCAAGGAGTTAACATAAACTCACCAAGTTCGCTGGTGAAGTCAACACACCCTGGGCAGTCGCAGAATTCTGTCCCAGATCCACAATATCCATTTGCAGAGCAGCACGGGAACTGGCCGTGCGGGTTACACTCGCCAGGTGTCGCTCCTGGAGCTGGGAAGCCAGTGCCACAGCGGCCATCGGTCCTCCACTTCTGGGTGTCTGGAAATGTGGGAAAATAAAGTTCTCGGTTTGTCTTTACTTAGATACTAAAATACTTCGCAATGTTCACCTTGCCTTAATCAAAACTGTCAATACCTACATTACGTCAATATCAGTTGTTTACTCATATTGCAAGCACGGCGCTGCAAATATTTGCAACACTCACCACAATTGTAGAGCGTGTTGATCTTCTCGATGTCCCCTGCACTCATGCCGTCTCTCTGTCCCATAGTGCCAGTGAATGGGAAAAGCGCCTCGATAGTTGGCTGCCCGTTAACGCTAAATGTCTTGTTGCCGTAGTGCATGACGGAACCGTAGTCGTACGGCAGATCAAGTGTACTGCTCTCGTCCTCCGTGCGCTTGTTAAAGTTGTGCTTATTTTCTGCCAGAAAATAACAAAAAAAGATTTAAAATAAAAAGGATTGCCGTGGCGACGGTTTCTAGTTTGATATTTAGGCTATTTATCTGCTGATTAATTTGACATGTGGTATGGTTCTGGTTGTTAATTTGTCGATGTCTGGATGCTTGTTTAGGAAGACTTTATTTTCCTCTGTTGTCGACACACAATTGGTAACTCCACATGCACGGACATTACAGAAATTAATGTGCAATAGGTAAAATTCCTGAAGTGGGTACATAATTACTATTAGTCTTGCCCCTGAGGCGTCGCCTAAAAGCGATTTATCCTACAAAAGGACTAATTTTCAAATACCTCTGTCATACGAAAACCCCATTTCTGAACCGTGAAGATACAAAGCCAGTTGCCTAGTTATTACATTTCTAAATTACTACTAATATTAGCAAATAAAACATTAGGAACTGATCGAATCTGTAACCTTCAAAAGCAAAGAGCAGCTCAAATAAAACTATTAACGACAACAAAAAATTGTGAGTAGAGTAGACTCACCCTCTATGATGTTATTCCAAAGAATTTCGACCCAGGTGTCCCTGTCCGGCCGTGAATGTTCGTGCCAGAAGCCCACAGCGTGTATCAGCTCGTGAACGATGATGCCATTATGCACACAGCCGGTACCGAGACTCACGTTCTGAGCACCTTCATGCCTCTGACCAATAAATGACCAGCATCTACAAAGCATAGAACATCTTTAACTTCGCCAGAAGGTTATGCATTCGGTTTGGCTATGGTGGGGTGAATGTAGATCTACGAGGGATATAAATTAGTTTATGTCATGGATGGATGTTCAAAATTTATCTAAGCATGTTTAAAGTTGATTTTTGTACATTGCCTGCAGCTGAGTAGTTGATTCTTACCCTTCTAGTCGTTGGATATGTAGGAAGTCCTTCTGGCTATTTCTCTGTACAAATCGTAAACACGTATGTTGATGGAACTCTTCCATGGCACTTTGAATAAGTGACACCTCAGATGTAGCTGGACAATCAAAAATACATTTTTATGTTTCAACAACTAGTTATACAAAGGACATATTCAAGTATTTGCCTGTTGTGTTATCTATGTCACCCCTACAAAGTAAGAGTAACTACAGGTGCAGTCAGTTAGCCAAACTTTCCCAAGCTTAATGTTTGTGACTTAGGGCGAAGAAATGCTGCTTCTGTGAGCGTTACTTCGGTATCCATAAGAGCCCATGTGACCTTGTACTGAGAACACAACATGGACTTACAGTAATCACCCTGCCTGATGACGAATGGGATCTCCTTATAATCCCACAACCTGGCTGAGTCTTTGATGGCATTACGAGAGTACTGAAATGAGAGGGTAAAATGGTTGTAACATAGTTACGTCTGACTAAACAAAATCAGACATGCAGATTTTCCATTGATTCATACATTACACAAAACACTACAATAATGGGAAGTAAATGACATACAAAGTTTACTCTAAGTATTAGAAGAAAACATTTGTTTAATTTTGTTTGCGTCTCAAAACAATGTTTTGGTCGAGTACTTTTGGTGAGGCAATACTCTGAAAGTACATGTAATGCATACCGACGGTCCGTAGTATTTGATGTCTGCCTCAAACAGATGGAGACCTGTGGAAAAAAAAGTCGTGATTAGTATCATCAACACATGATACATGGAAGAACAAGTGAAAAAAAAAAATTAAGCCATTTAAAATAGCAGTAATTCACCCCCTTGATGTGATTAAGGAAGGACTATGTTTAGTAGACATAAATTGAATATGAAGTTCTTACCTTTGTTTATTTCAATGATGTTATCCATCGCCACCCGACCAGATCCGTGCACCGGATCCCCCTTACCTTCAAAAATACATACAATTTATGATTCTCTTGGTGGAAATAATTGTCAAAGAGTATTGAAGGTACTATTTTCTAATACTTTCAATACGAGTTGTTGAGTATAATTTCTTGACTATAAGCAGCAGTAGTACTGTTTTATTGGAAATTCTTACATGTCAATATAGAGTGTTGTATCTAAAGCTTAAGAAGAATTGCACTGTTCAGCTGTATTACAGTGAGCTGTAATAATTATATATTCTATATTTACAATCTACGACTACGTATACCCATCCGGATATCGCTTGATATCTCTTGTCATGCTTTATAGTAGATACGGGTATCTAAAGGTACCGCATCATGGCTAAACTAGAGTTCCACGATCTCGGATCTTCGCCAAATTATGTTTAACTTAATGACTAACGAATTATAAATCACCCCCTGAGTATAGAAATAGGATCAGTTGATCATATTCTCCGGCCAAAGACAGTCTTATCTTAACAAAGAATGCCATTCTGACATTTCCTCATAAATTATGCAAATGAGGTCATTAAAAATATGTTTAATGATGTTCACCCAGAATAACTTTGAAAACCCCCTAGTATAAAATTGAAGGCAGTTATTATATATTCTCATTTTTTTATGAAAATGAGGTTTAAATGGATTTAATGTCTTTCCTTTTAGGGTCAAATGACCTGAAATTTCGTATACAGG